CAAGGTCAACTCCACCACTGCCTGCCAAGGGGTCTGAGTTAACACTATCACCCCAATTCCCTGAGAAAATGGGCAGGTGAATATTCTATCTGCTCAGGCTCCTTTGCTGATTTAAGCAAGGACTGGACAAATTAGAGTACAGTTAGTACCAATTCAGGCAAAAAGTCTGTGTGCTAACCACATACTTCCCAATGCCACACCCCTCATGCTCAGAACTCCCTAGCCCACACATGGCTTCTTGTGACCCCCAGGATAAAGTCCCTATGACCCAACAGGTCATGAGCCCTACCCAGTTCACTTCCCCATCACACAATCCAGCCAGCCAGGCCAGAGTTTGCCTATCTCCTGATTTGTAGTTCCTTCTTCCTGGAAGGAATCTCCCTGTTTGATCTCCATCATACTCCAGGAAGCCTTCTCTAACACCTACTCATCCAGGTTGGCTTGCCCAGCAGACTCCATCTCTGAGGGTCACTGTTAGTCCCACTCTGGAAAGTTGGGGAGAAAGGGTCAAGACAGCACGAATTCCAAGGTATATCTGGGCCCAGAATACCCCTGGGGAATTGGACTCAGGGAGACTCGATCACTGAGCCACATCCCCAGCCCTTATATGTATTTTATTTAGAGACAAGGTCTCACTGAGTTGCTTAGCACCTCGATTTTCCTGAAGCTGGCTTTGAACTTGCAATCCTCCTGCCTCAGCCTCCCAAGCTGCTGTGATTACAAGCTTGCTCCACCACACCTGAATGAGCATTTCTTGACCTGGAACTTCTACTGGGGCCTCCTGAAACCATGCTGCCTATCAACTCTACTCTTCCATGGTCTGCATCATTCCCACTAAAATATCCCCAGTAGAAAAGCATGGGTGGGGGGCTGGGGATGTGGCTCAAGTGGTAGCGCGCTCGCCTGGCATGCGTGCGGCCCGGGTTCCATCCTCAGTACCACATACAAAGATGTTATGTCCACCGAAAACTAAAAAAAATGAATTAAAAGAAAAGAAAAGCGTGGGTGGGCAAACGAGGGGTGGCTGCAGCAGACTCAGTATGTAAGGTATGCCTCAGTGTGCCTCTCCTCCCTGGAGTCCTGGGCAGGCCACTGACACACTATCTCTAAATGGGAAATATGGACTGAAGGAGACACCTAAGGCTCTCCAGTGAGAGGTTTAATCCTGGCCCACCAACACAAGGAAACACTGGTTTCTGTGTAGTTGCCAGGCCTCAAACCAAGGAGGGAGTGATCAAGGAAGTCACCCAGTCCCAACAGCCTGGTCTAACTGTACATGCATGAAGGGGTGAATGTACATGCATGTTCCCTGACACCTGTCCATGACTATTGTCCCAACCCTTTCCCCTGTCTTCAGTAATCCTGTTTCCCTGAGGCCTTCCTCCCTTAGGCTCATTGCCATCCATTTGATAAGTTGAGGGTGAGGGAAAATGAGCTTGGTGACCAGCTAGAATAGCAATCTTTTCCCCAAATACCTTGCTTCCAGTAGTGCCCTTTGAAACATGGAACGTACCAGACTGCTTGAGGGGTTAAAAGTAACAGCTAGTTCAGACCAAGGCCAATGAGAGGCCAACTCTGAGGCAACCCTGCCCACCCCCACCAGCTCCAGGAGTGGAGCCCAACGGCCTCTTTCCAGCTACAAAATAGGGATAGGGCGAAGCAAAACTTGGCACTGCTGTGGGACTGCTGATAGAGTGCACAACCGGGTGGTATCACTCCCACTCACTCCCATTTTTTTTTTTTTTTAACCAGGGGCAGATGGTAAGAGGCTGACCACACCCTTGCCCAGAATGGCGGGTGGTGGACTGGCAGACCCAGGTGACAAGACGGATACCAAGACGATCCCCCATTTCACTATTAGATGCAGACCGGAGAGAGGCCCCGTTTCTCCCAGTCCAGTTGGACCGACCCACCACCAGACGCACGCCTCACCCAGCACCACTGGGGGGTGACGTTGGGCCTGGAGCGCCGGGTCCGAGAGCAGCAGCAGCAGCAGCAGCAGTTCAAACAGGAGGCCACTCGGGAGCAGGGCCTTGCGGCAGGGACAGAGGCGTAGGTCCATGGCGTGCGGCGGCGGACTGCAGGTCCGAGGTGCGGGTTCAGTGTTCCGAGCTCGTGCCTAGGCCGGGGCGGTGGCTAAGAGCTTAACCCCGCCGCCCGCGGCACCTCCTGCAAACAGCCTGCCAATAGCGACTCTCCATCAGACGCGTCCCTCCCTCCCTAGCTCGCGGCCCCGCCCTTGTCCACCCAGGGGTTGGCTCTCTCCACCGCGCTGCGTGCCGAGAGCATCGATCAGCCCCTCTAGGCGCCGCTGGGCTCCCGGCTCTCAATCTTCCTGGCCGACCCAACTCACCCGGTGCGTACCCATCGGAGGTCCACGCTGGGCAGCCCCCATTCCAGATCCTGGAGCCTCCCAAACCTCGAGGATAGGAAACCCACCTGGCCGCTAAAGGGATACCGGGTCCCGAGCTCATAGTGGCTTAACTACCCCTGGCAAAGCAAGAAGAGGGGAAGTGAGTCAAGGGGCAGTTCTTGGGCCTTAGGTTACCAGCAGTTAACCTGGACCTTTGCCCAACCCCCACACCAGCTCTTCCCAACTTGCCCTGAGGGTAAGTTTAGTCACCGGGCTCAAAGACCCGCTACCTATGTCCTGACCTTGTGGTTATGGATACTAGTCAGGTTGTGGCTCAGCGTAAGCGTTTTGGGAAGTGGAGCCTGGGGTACCCAACCAGATGAGGCAGTTCCGATGGGAATGGGCTTGAGCCTGGACCCTGAAGAGTGGAAGGGGCATTAGGAGCTTGTGTTGCCTCCTACTCCACTCCAAGCAAACCTGGGGATCCAGAGAGGACACAGACTCCCTACGCCAAGAATCTAGGACAAACAATGTGGATGAAAACTGGACAGCAGCTTGGATATCAACACCCATGCCTCATTCTGGGATAAAGAGACCAGTATGTTTGGGGAATGGAAGTCATGATCTTCCACACATCCCTTCCTTGGGGCCAGCTACACCCTGTTCATCCCTGTCTGGTCCTAGGACCTCTGTCTAACCACTTCCCTCTTCTTGGTAAGCAGCTGACCCTGTGTTAAAGCTGATCTCTATCTTGGCCTGCCCCTGGGTTCATATGCTGAAACTGAAACTTAGTCCTTAGGGTAACCTCCTCTCCTGATGTCCAAATATTCCCTACCTCAAGCCCTGCCTCCCCTTCCTTCACCTCTGGCACCAACAGAAGATCACTGAAGACTGCTCTTGAAGGCCTACTCTGGGAGACCATAGAGACCCTTCTGCCAGGATTAGGGAAAGTCAGAAGCCCAGAGCCAAGAATTACATGATAGAGAGAAGGGATCAAAGGACCTGGGTAGACTTGGACTCTGGCCACACTAAACTTCCTAACAGGCCAGCAGCCTCAGGTGACCCTGGGCCCCTGGAAAGGTTGCCCTGTCCTCAGGAGTTCACTGATAGCCCACTCCCACAAGCAATTCAGATATTAGGAACCGTGACTATTGGATGAGGGATGGCAATGCCTGGTCAGCAATGACCCTTGCTGGCACTGTGGAGAAGGGTCAAAAGGTGAGGGTCCCCACTTTTACTCAGTGAGCCTGCCATCTACCCATTCCCCCTGTCTACAGACCTAGGGTCATCCTGGACTCTGGATGCCACCCTGCTTCTCATCCCACAAACTGGATGATCACTAAGTCTTGCCAACTCTACCCATCCCAATGCTAAACTGCCTTCATCCCCACAGTAGCCTCCTCACTGGTGTCCCAATTTATGCCCTTATTCCTGTGGGCTGCTTTCTACATGCCAGACTGACATCATTAAACATTAAATCATTGCAAAGGCACAGTGACAAATGCCTGTAATCCTGGCTACTCAGAAGGCTGGGACAGGAGGATGCAAAATTCAAAGCCACCTGGCTGAAGTTGTGGCTCAGTGGTAGAGCACTCGCCTTGCATGTGTGAAGCCCTGGGTTCAAGCCTAAGCACCACACACAAATAAATAAATAAAGGCATCATGTCTGTCTACAACTAAAACAATATTTAAAAAAAAAATTCAAAGCCACCCTTAGTAACTTAAGGAGGCCCTAAGCAACTTAGTGAGACCTGTCTCAAAATTTTACAAAGCGGGGGCTGGGGTAGTAGCTCAGCAGTAGAGCGCTTGCCTTGCACGTATGAGGCACTGGGTTTGATTCTCAGCACCACATAAAAATAAATAAAATAAAATAAAGATTATGGGCTGGGGTTGTGGCTCAGCGTTAGAGCACTTACCTAGCACATGCAAGGCTCTGGGTTCAATCCTCAGCACCACATTAAAATAAAGGTATTGTGTCCAACTACAACAAATAAATAAATATGATTGTGTCCATCTACAACTAAAAAAATATTTTTACAAAATTTTAAAAAGGGTTGGGGTGGGGGCTGGGGCTGTAGCTCAGTGGCAGAGCACTTGCCTAGCACATGTGAGGCACTGGGTTCAATCCTCAGCACCATATAAAAATAAACAAATAAAATAAAAGCATGCTGCCCATCTACAACTACAAAAAAAATTTAAAAAAGGGCTGAGAATGAAACTCAGTGGTAAAATGCCTCTAGGTTCAATCTCCAGTACTCCCCCCGCCCAAAAAAAAAAAAAAATTATGTCAAGTCCCTTCACTCTCCTCCTAAGCCCACCCACAGAACTCCCACGGTATGCTTTTCACTCACAGTGAATGAGGTCTGGCTGTTTCCACAACTTGCACTTTCCCTTTTCTCCAGTTGGCTTGTTTTTAGCCTTAATGGCTTTATTGCTGCCTAGAACAGGACAACCTCTGCCTAGAACAGGATATAAAATCCTGTTCCTCAGGATTTCTGCACTTGCTAGAGTGAGACTACCCTGCATTCCCCAGTTTGGGGGAGTCTACATTCAGGCCTCAGCTCATAAATGACCACTGGAATTGAAGCATCCCTCGCTCGCCTGGCTCCTATTATACTACAATGGCTGCAAGAGCAAGCTCTTCACCTTTTTTTTTTTTTTTTGGTTTGTTTGTTTTTTTAGTCGTCAATGGTTCTTTATTTAGTTGTATGCGGTGCTGAGAATCAGATCCTGTGCCTTACATACACCAGGCAAGTGCTCTACCACTGAGCCACGACTCCCTCACCTGTCTTTTTTCTATCATATCCTTGGTTACTAGTTACTACCTGGCACAGTTTCTGGTACACAGCAGATGATTAATACATGTTGAAGGAATGTATTCATCCTTCTCCACAACATCCTTCTTCCATGACAGGACCCTGGTGCTTGTCAGACCTGGAGGTGGAGATAAAGGACTGAATGGTCAGCAGTGCTGGATGCGAATTCTGGAAAAGATTGGGAAAGAAGGAGGGTGTGTTTGAAGAGGGGAATACATTGAGTAAAGACCAGTAGTGGGAATAAACTCAGAGACTGAAGAGCCAGGCCAATTGTAATCTGTGAGAATACAGCCTCTGCTGCTACTGTTACTGGACCTTGCATTTCCTCTCACTATCCCATGTTCCATTCGAGGGGAGCATGGAACCATAGACCAGGTGGGTGCTGAGCTTGGGTCAACCAAACCCCAACCAAGGCCTCTAAACTGATTTGGTGATCACAGCTGAGCCCATTGGAGGCCAAGTGATTCTCCCTCAGCAGACCCCTATTCCTTCCTGCCAGAGCCTCCCTGAAGTAGAGGCCAAACTGATCAAATCAGTAATTCAACACAGAATCCTGGAGACAAGAGGCCCAGACCAGATCATCTAACTTGGTCTAGGCATCAAGGAAGGTTGTCCAGAGTAAGAATCATTAGAGATGGGTCTTGAAAGATAAGTAATTTCCCAGATCAATAAAGGGATATGTAGGTAGGTGACTGCTTCAGCAGCCCATGGATCCAAAGAATCACAATGTGTCTGGGGTACAGACTAGGGCAGAGTGAAATAAAGATTGAGGACCCTGAAAAACAAGCTTTAAGACTTGGCCAATGTGCAAGGATCCAGGAACTACTAGAAGATTCTAAGCCAGACAGAAGCGGCCTAGAAAGCGGAGTCCAGGGCATCTGCATTTTAACCTCATTCCTACAGGAGCACGTTCCTGCCCTCTGATCTTCACCATTGGGTTTTGACTACAGGGTCAGCGCGCCCTCTGGTGGGAACTCAGACGCAATTCTGCAAAGATGCTGGGATGGGAACCGCGGAGGAGCCCAGAGCTCTAGCTACTCTGTTGGCCTTGGAGATCAGAACCCTTAGCAGTGGGGTTAGCTGGGAGCCATTGGTTCACTGAGGGCCACGACAGGTATGAGCCAACTCCTTGCGGTGGTCTCCAGCGTCGAATCTTGTTCACAGAGGGACCTTTTCTGGTTAAGAAGGGAAAGTCCTGAGAGGATGCTTTTTCACTACTTAAGAGAACGCTGTCACTCTCTCCTTGCAAGAGCCTCACCCTGTATCTGCCCAGGCCTTCATTAACCCGCGATTGGCGCTCCCGCTGCCTTTAGGACTCCCGGCTAAGAGATTTCCAAGGGCAGCTTAGGAAAGACCTCTGGCCTTAGTTGAGCTGGGCCGTTGGGGCCTTTCTTAGCCCTCTGTCAGTACCCATTTCCCATTCATCCATTCATTCATGATTCATGAATCCTAGAAGCAGAAAGCAAGGAACAGTTTGGGGTAGGAGAATATTTCAAATTGTAGAATGGACCCCAGCTATGAAGGGAGCTACCTTAGGGGCAGAAATGAGGAGGAAAAGCAGGAGTGGTCTGGGAAGGAGGGTAAAGACATATAGAATGTCCTACTGCAAAGGCCTTGTGGTCCTAGAAGTTTACCATTGCTGGAATATTCCAAGACAAAAGAAACAATCTCCAGGACAATTCATTCAGTCAGTGCCGGCCTCAGATGTATGTGAGGAAAAAGCCTGTGTCCTCGAGGATAGGATGTTGGGTAGGGTGGTGGGGAGACAATAAATGATTAATAAATCATATTACAAGTTGGTTATGTGAGGGGGAAACACAAATTGCTTAATAAAAAGGGGGTGATCTAGGAGGAAGCACATGCAGATAAGGGAGCTCAGCAAAACAAGGACCCCATGTTATTTGGACGAATTTGGTTTTTCAAGAAGAGTCCAAGTGTCACGAATAGTCTTGGGGTGTAAACAGCTGGGTGGGCGGGTGGGGGTTTGGAGGAGCCTCCCTGTACTGCCAACTTGGGACTTGGGGTTCGCTACCCGCGGAGACCCTGGTAGTGAACATGAGCGCCTCTCTAGTGGGAATGGGTTCAGGATCACCAAGGATGCCACAACGAACTGGTCACCTCGACAGGGAGACTTTCGGAGGAGTTGGGCACGTAATTTAGAGGTTAAACGAATGGGGCTGAAGGCAACCCCATCCAGGCAACAGTGACAAGCGGCTCTGGGAAAGCCCTGCAGGGACGCCGGGACTGTTCAGTAGGAACCGGTGCCAGATAGGAGGCGGGGAAGGCCAGATGCAAACGCCAAGGTAGTTTTGGAGACGGATCCGGAAAGGTAGGGTTGCACAGGTAAAGGGGAGGTGGCTGGAAGGGCACAGCCCAGAGGGCGGGACTCCTGACAAAGGCGTGCTCCAGAATGGGGGAAAGGAGGGGCCTATCTCGCAGTTCCGTCCAGCCCCACAAATAAATATTTGAAATTCCAAACTTGGGGGTGGGGCCTGAGAAGCTACATTCTCCCCTCTCTCAGTGCACGATTCTCTATAAGTTTTTTCCCGGGGTAGGGACACGCGGGCAGTCGCTTGGATGGGGGGTCTGGAGAAGGGTTGCTATGCACCACTGCAATCCTTGGGGAACGTTCTAGTTGTCCCAGGTCCACCTACCACTCCGTCCCGGTAGCTGGGTTCCGGCGCGAGTCACATCCGGCCCAGAAGCCTCAGTCTCTTCATTTGCCAAGTGGGGACAAGTTGTAGTGTGGCATGGCCTGGAAGGCATCCCCGCCAACCTCGTCTCCCCTCTCTTCTTGGGCTGCGTCCCTTGCCTGGGCATGAGCTGGGGATGTGCCTGGGTCTTGCGCTCTCTTTTTCACTGTCCCAGACGCAGGGACCCACTTTTCTGACAGCACGAGGAGCGGCTCCAGCTTTGGACGCGGGTTGGGTTTGGCAATTTCACTTCTCTGCTCCTTCCAGGCTGGAGCCCTACGCGCCGGAATACAAATTTCTCAGTCACCTAACGGGAGGAAAGTACAGGGCGGTCTGAAAACGCGCCGTCAAGTTTCACCGAGCCGCGAGGGGGCGAAAGGGACTATTTAGAATAGGATTGTTGGCCCCCAATGGATAAGGGATGGAGTCAGAGGTTCGCTTGCGCACGTACACATCACCGCTAGCTCCTACCGCCAGCACACTCATATCTCCAAGCAATCAGACAGTCGCCCAACGAAGATGAAAACAGGCAGGCGCCCCTATGAGGTAGCACTGAAGCCCCAGGTCTGGACCATTCGGCTCAGCCTCGTCTAAGGTGCAGCTCTCGGGGTCTGGGGGGAAAGGGATTCCTCATACCCCAGTGTTAAGGCCGGCCCTCGCACCTATGTGGACAGATCCTTTGCTGTGATCTGGGTTGACAGCCCATAGCTCTAAGGACTCCTGATCTCTGCCGCCCTCGCCATCTCCATTCTCTAGTGATCTCTCCCGGAAGCCTCCAAGAGATACGTGGTTATTCTCACCGCCCCCTCTGACCCTTGGTGATTTCTTCCATAAACCCCGGCCAGCCGTCGTGACCCCCACAGCCCCTGGACTGTTGGTGACTTCCACAAGTCCGGCGTGACCGTCATGGACCGGAAGAGGCCTCAGGTCTTGCACGTTCTTTTGCGAAGGTCTTAAGGTCCGGGCGAAAAGGAGAAAAACTGGGTTCACCACAGTTGGGCAGACCGGACCGGGAAGTAGAAGTCCGGATCCTGAGCGCGTCCCCTTGTAGGGAGTATGAGTTCCTGCGTTCTGGGCTGAGTTCTGGCCCTCCCCCAAGACTTCAGGGGCCGCCCCGGGTCACGTGGTCCGCCAGGCCGGCAGG